TCTTGAAAACTTTTCATATTTATTCCTTATACCTTTAGGATGACCCCCAGGGGCATAGCAACGCCCATTTTGTTTATGTTTATCGCCTAGGGGCTGCAATTCTGAATGGATCATCCTGGAGCGTAACAGGTGTAGGGCATGCACCAAAAGTTTAGAATTGCAGCCTGTGGACGATAACACTAAAATCTGGTGTTACTGTGCCCCTGGGGGTCGGGCGGGCATACAACAAAAATCATAACATTCATCCTTTGGGTATAAGGAATATATATGAATAGTTTTCAAGACAATCCATTAAGAATTGCGGCCTGTAGGGCAAAAAAACACACAGACACAAAGAAAAAATGGGTGTGGCTCTGACCCAGGTTGGGCAAGCACCAAAAACAATAGGAAACATTCTTAGGGTATAAGAAATAAGTATGCAGTTTCAAGACCATGCGTTAAGAATTGCCGTCTGTAGTTTTCAAGTGTTCAGTGATAGTGTAACAACACTACTGTACATGTACTTCAACTTTCTAAGCAGACAAAACAAGTTTTCCCCTGTGTTGGAAAGCAAAATTAAATTAAAACGATACTCCCTGTAGCCAAATGAATCTATATTCTTATTCTACAATATACAAATATGAGGAGCCTAAGTCTTTCAGAAGTAATTTTAATCTGATTGTCTACAATTTGGGAAGCAGAACAAAATTTTTTTTCTAATTTGGGAGGCAAAATAAATTTAGAACGGTATGAAGTAGATGCAAAATTATTACATATTCGTGATCAAGGCAATAAGGTTCTATAAATAGACATGTTTGAGGGGTATAGGTCATTTAGAAGTTAATTTAAAATCAATATGAAACGTCAACAATTTTGATAATAGCCATTAAAACTCCATCACCGCACAGATTTCAAGTGCAAATTAAAAATATAAGACCCCAAATACACAAGATATGGATTTTAATGTGTGTTATAATAGGGTAAGTGAAGTTTCATTTTCAACCAGTTTCAAAATTTTAACCTCTGTCCCACATGGCAAAAATTGAAGAAGAAAATGGGTAAATTTTGTAAATTTTTCGTGTGAATGAATTTTGAGGCTGAATATTTTGAAAAGTATATATTCAATCGACTCAAAATCTTTTGTAAATTGATAAAATACCAACTGACATTAAAGTAGCTAAGTCTCTAACTCAATATCATCCAAAATCTTCGACATTGAAAACACAAATTATTTGTCAATTTAAATCAACATTGATGTTGTGATAGTACGGGGAAAAGATGGGCTTCTGATATCCAATAATTAAGAAAAAATAAACATTTTACCATTGGTACACGAATCGTGTACCATCGTGTACCATGGTGAATTTCAGCGCCATATGTAACAAGGGACCCGTAGAACGGGGCTAGATATATTCCACAAGTCAAGTCAAACGGTGACCTGATATTCTTATCTGGAGAGCATGCGCAATAAATACTAACGGTATAGAATGGAATAACCAGACGCTAGAGATTGCCTTCGATTGAGACTTTTGGCGTGTTTCGCAAAACATAACGGATTAGAAATTACAGTAAAAACAGAAACGATTGAATGTAAATCAGTTTATATCCATTCACATTGTGTCAATTTCTAGATCCAAAACATTAGCGATTTAGCTCCTTTAACTATTCCAATTTTGGAGGTTATGTATACAACAGTGACATTGCCAAGGCTGTGGAAATCGTGAAAAAAAAGTGAATAGTTCATTTCTTCCACATTTTGCCACCTGGTGGCCCAAAAAGTTTGAATCGCACATTAAGTGTGATGCTAAATTCGTAAACTACACGAAAAGTTGTCTTAGATTACAAAGTTAGAGAGTTGTACTCCAATTACAAATGTGAGTTTAAAGCAAATGAAAATCTGAGAAAAACTTTTCAATTTATAGTCCGTTTCAGTACCCTAATTTCAAATGGCCATATCTCCGTGAGTTTTTTTATCTAGAGAGGTAAAATTTTAGGATTTGTTAGGTTAAGACTATATACTATAACATATATTTTTTATAATTTTTTGGGAAGGGGTCATGTTCCCAACTTTCCGAAATTTGGTCCAGTTGACATGGAATGACCCAGATATGTATCTCGGACAGTTTTTAAGATAACTGTATATGCCACATTCCATTCTAAACTATTTAAAAGGACAATTTTTTAATTCACTCAATAGGTAGTCATGTTTTGATTGTTTGAAGTTTGAACCATGTGTCTCAATTCTCATTCAGGAGCTGGTCACATATTCACATTGTTTTTATTGTGAACTTACCATTACATATTTTTCAGCACCATGTTGAACTTTTAAAGTTATAGAATTGCCAGCTCCAAGAAATGCCTGAACAGCTTCATTATGTGTACATCTTCTTAAATCTGTTCCATTAATCTAGAAATAGAAATTATGCTATACATGTACTCTACATCTGGCTGCAGTGAGTGGATTTAATATTACTAAAAAAAGGAGGGGGGGGCAGAATTTAGCTAAAATCTTTTAATATGTAGCCTATAGTAATTATTATTCTATACCTCAAGTAATTTGTCCCCTTCTTTTATTCTACCATCACGATTTGCTGCACCATTCTCTTTTAGTTTGGTTACAAAAATACCAGGATCACCTTGAATATGAGGGATGTCAATACCACCTCGAATATTGAAACCCAATCCTGTAATAGACAATAAATTGAAATAAATGAATAGCTCAGCAAGTTATAATGAAATTATAACATCTGGTCCGTAGACAGTGAGTAGTCTCCCATTTTAAGACAATATCTTGTTTTAAACAAGTACATATTTACAGCCATTAATAAGTAGTCCAAACATTGCAGTCTTCAATCCAATGACTGCCTTGGCCTATTCTCTTAAATGTGTTTACAGACTAGGAAGGCTAGCTGTTGTGTTATATCATGTTATCTTGATAACATCACAGCTGGCATCTTAAATCGTTAATTAATGGTGAAATCATTTGTACTTCGTGTTCTGCATTGTGGAAATTTTCATAAAATAGGAGTTCTTTGTAGATTAGGCACCTCATCCCTCAACTCTCTGTGTCTCAAGAGTAGTAATAATACTATACAGTTTCAACTGGCAAAATTTTCTTCAAAACAATTGAGTATCTAAAATGCCCAACTACTAAAAGCATAATCCTACCTGAACCAGGCACAAATCATATCTTTTAAATCAAAGCAGTTATGGTATTGTTAGCCAAGACAGTTTCACGTCGAAATGTCACAAAAGCAGAGCTAAATGTCTTCATGGTAAAAGAGGGATACAATTGTCAGTGCTTATACACATTGACAGTTACTAAATGAGCTTCCTTGGTCAAACTAGTCAGTGAAAAACCATACTTGAATTAATTTAACCGATACAATAATTGTTTAGACCATTAGTAAGTATCCATATTTCTTTATATTTCTTTGTTGCACGTACATGTAAGCTTATAATATGTAATTTATCAATCTGATTCTTATACATTTTTTACCCACCTTCTGGTTTTTACATCGTGATATATGTATTCTGAGATTTGATTGGTTGACCTACTTTCCTAATTGTATTTTCACTTTGTAACAAGAGACAAAAATAACTCCAGCATGGTACAATGTAAAGACACTCTGAGGTGGGTAAAAAAAATTGTAAAAGATTGATAAATATAAATGCATGCAACAAAAAGATTAACGATCTAAAACTAAACTTTCATTTTTCGTGTGTCCAATTAGTAATTGTGTCCAGAAAGTAATTATCTGTACTACAAAAAGCTTGTTTGTAGCATGGTTCTAACAGTAAGGTGGGTAGCTACGAGAATGTAACTAAAAACGCTGAGATATACCTGATGTGCTTGTTTGTAGCTACGATTGGATGCCTTTAGTTCCAAATGGCAAACTCAATTTCTTTATTAATGTATGTTAATGTACCATCTTAAAAATAAGTTAATTTTATACTATTAGTACTTATTACACATATGCAGTCCAATCTACTGTCATTTATCAGCAAATATTGACAATAAAGTAAATCAAGTGATGTTTTTATCAAAATTGATTCGGACGTTCATAATTACGGCTTATTACTACTGCGCAACTCGGATCAGATTAGTACTTTGATTGGCTATTGCACACGAGGCCCTGCCTTTATGTGTTACAGACGTAAATTTAAAATGTCAGAAAAGGCAATCTACTGTCGCTTTAATTTAAAAAGAGGGGATTTGTACCCGTTTCAGGTAGGATTATATGCTTAATTGTAGTTGGGTGTGGCAGAAATATTATAAATAACAATAATGAATCGTTGTTTTGATTAAAAATATTGTCAATTTTGTTTACAAATGCCGGTTGCGAATCGCTCCCGCATATGCTACATTAATGTCAATAGCACCATTTCTTAACTCGAAACACAGAGGGTGGAGACTGGAGAGATATGATTTGTTATCTATAAGGTGGGGAGCATGGAATAATGATGGTTTCCAGCTTAGTACTGTAGTGTTCAGCGTTCTATTTCTAATGATAATACAACATCATGAAATAACAAAAAAACATCAAATGACAAATAGAAAAAGTGAACACGAGAGGAAGTTCAAGTTACTTTTTCTCTCTGAATTATTGTCTATCCTAGCTCTACCTAATACCTATCAGTAGCCTACCACAAAAGGCTTGATTGTAGATGGCCCTAACAGTAAAGAATGGTTTCCTGCTTGCTTTTTCTCTCTGGACTAGTTTTCAGTTTTCTCCGAAATTATCAATATTATTTACCAGTATCTCCTCTCGAAAGTTTAATTTCGTTGACTGGCAAGTCAAGAGACATGTTGAGAATCTTTAAACAAAACCAGAATCATAAAAATGCTGTTTAAATTGCACTGTAACACGATGCTGTTGAACAATTACTCCAAATTTTAACCTCGTTATTCAGTCACAGATCGAATCCTTAACACAATCGATTGAGGTCGCTCTTCACTTCCGGTGAGAATAATCCGACCTCATTGACATTGGGCGTACTCGTTTATGAAGCAATTTTTATCATTTGCACGCGGATACATTCCCACCCAGAAGCTTCATATCAAACTAGAAGTATTGAAGCATTTATTGTCAAAACTTATTAAAATGTAATGGTGTGGTCCATTTACATATGAAAATGATTTGCTCAGACGACACTGAACCTTTTCGGTTTTAAAAATAATGTTGAGGTCAATTGAGACACGGTGTTCTCATAAAAATAAAGAATGTATTACCTCCGATAATTAAGTTCGACTAAACAAATGGCTGCTTTTCGATAAAAAAAAAATTTCATTTGCACTGCAGCTAACCATACTTTGTTGACTTTGTCACAGAAAGGTTTAGAAATATTTTTTGCTTAATAAAGATCAGTATATTTAGGTACGATGTTTAAAGACGTTATAATTGAAAATAAGATAGATGACATGTTTCAAATTGTGATAAGTGGGGATGAAAAATACCTCAGTTTTACATTTTTCGACAGTCCTTCAAAAAGTTGGACGCTGTGTGTAACAAATGGCATAGATGTATGGAGATTAGTAATGGATGAAGAAGATTTTAACACTCATAGAGAGTTGGCTAATATTAGCACAGAAGAAGCCTTTTGTTTAAAAATTAGGTAAACATTATTGAGTAGAGCGAAGCTGATTATTGTCAAATATAACCTTCATAATTAATTTTCTCAAGTGATACAAAAAATGTTAAATAATTTAGTTTTTCAAAAGTGATTTTTATTTAGATCTAAATTTTATACATTAATTTTGTTTTTAAAAAAGAACAAAAGTGTGGGAATTATTTTCATTGACGTAAAAAATATGTGACGTCATTGATTAGACGCGTCATAGAAATAGTTCTAAGAGGCGCGTAATCTCGCTTGGGCGAGATTTGGTGTATAGAATTATTTTTGTTAGTTACGTGATCTCGCCTGGGCGAGATTTGGTAAGTTGACATGCGTATTGCCTGTTTTGCCCAGTGTATCCGGTTCCGGTCTGAACTTTTTTTTAATCAACAGTCTGTGGGTGACATTTTCAATTACGCCCCTGTATTACCGGAAAAGAGCTTGGCACCGCGCTTCGCTCTATAATATGTAACAGGCATTGCCTGAGTAGAGCGAAGCTGATTATTGTCAAATATAAAACCTTCATAATTAATTTTCTCAAGTGATACAAAATGTTAAATAATTTAGTTTTTCCAAATTGATTTTCATTTAGATCTAAATTGTATACATTAATTTTGTTTTTTAAAAAAGAACAAAAAAGTGTGAGAATTATTTTCATTGACGTCAAAAATATGTGACGTCATTGATTAGACGCGTCATAGAAATAGCTCTATGAGGCGCGTAATCTCGCTTGGGCGAGATTTGGTAAGTTGACATGCGCATGACCTGTTTTGCCCAGTGTATCCGGTTCCGGTCTGAATTTTTTTTTAATCAACAGTCTGTGGGTGACAATTTCAGTTATGCTCCTGTGTTAACGGAAAAGAGCTTTGCTCAAGCATCGCGCGATGCTGTAGAGCTTCGCTCTATAATATGATAATTCTTTTTACCTCCAGAGTCGAGGTGACAGATAGTAGACTGACTATTTGCGAAGCAAGTAACTACCCAGCATAACCAATTCAAATTCAGTTATGATGCCAAATACTAAAATATAGCGAAGTCTAGGTACATTTACAGTTTTCATGCTATTAGGTCTATGAAGGCCTATTAATTAATAATTAGTTTAATCGATTATGGAGTCATTTATTCTCAAGGCTGAAAATTATGATTATTAATTCAGTAATAAAAATAATTAATAAAATCATGTCTATTTTATTTCAGAAATAGTTTTGTATCAGGAGACCTGTCCATAGCAATAATGGGAACCAGATTAAAACTGTCAGTTGGTAAAGGAGATACTACTATCAACTTTGATCTTTTTGAAGCCAAGGCAGTAGATAAGAAAACAGACTTAAAGACAGTTTTGTTTCAATTAGCAGAAACGTCTATAAAGATGGAAACAAAATTAAAAATAGCAAACCAAACAATTGATAAACTTCAATCAGAATCATCAAAAAAAGGACCATCAGGATTTTTAGATTCAGGCACTGGATCTAAGCGAGGTGCAAATGCTTCAAAAGTTAAACCTAAAAAGGTTGGAATGAGTGTTGTGAATCCTAATAGTAAAAAAAGAAAAGTGGCAACTGGGGTTGTATTTGAATAGATTGTTTAATAAATATTTAAAATAACAAAAAATCTTCATGAATGATGCTGTTGTCAGTCACTGATCAAGCTCACTTTACACAAAACCACCAATTTCAGTTCAACAGAAAAAAAATTCTGACCATTAAATTTGATATTAATATATATCATTTATTGTTTATCATACAAATATTTACATGTACATGTATTCCCAATTTTACCTACAATAATATATTTATCTACATAATTCATATTTTAATTCCATTCATCCTAAATATGTGTTAAGACTTTTACAATAGTACCGTACATTGGGTTACATGTTCAAATTAATAAAAGCATTTATTATTAGTCCCCTACCATAAGCAGTGGACAGATTAGTCGAATCAATTGGCGCCAAATTTTATTCAGCCGAACGAGAGGATACACTAGGCCAATCACTCGCTGATTCACCAGACGATTGCTTCACCTTTCACGGCACATGATTAAACATGGCAGCGACCATGTCTTCAATCATTCCTGTGACTTCTCGATATGATTGGATTCATGTTTGTTTACATTAATGCAAGAATTATGGGATTTATTGCGGGAAGGGGTGCAACTCTTACTTGACTTGGCCAAAGATACTGGATAATCAACCACATAATAAAAACAAACTCCCAGTTTCGCATAAGCAATGCAACTTTTCGTCCCAGACCCTCTGTACATTGAAGACTAGAAGGTTCTAGGTGACCGAGACTACGCTTAGGCAGTGGAGGCAGACATTTTGAGATCATGTGACAATATAGGCTGGACAAGGGCACACTAGCGAATTTGATTGCGGGCGAAAAAATAATTTGGTAAATATATCTAACCTGCTAGATACGAGCGGTTGATCGGGCAAAAGGTTCGCCCAGCAGAATCGTCGCTGTGAAAGGGCACATGGGTGATTTTTTCAAGTGATTTTAAAAATCGGCGCAATCGGGCGCAAAAATTCGCTCGTCTGCCCCCCTACTTTTGGGGTATTTGATTTAAATTTAGTAAATGTACATTGTTTTACATAGATGATGAGTTTCAGGCCGATTCATTGAAAATTCAGTTTTACAGAATTTATTCCATTTATCTTAATCACATTTGGATTACATATTCACAGTATCAGCCAGTTATAGATGCATACATTGTCAAATATGATGGGGCCGATATGGAACATGTATAGTTTCGGCCATGCTCTTAGAGTGCTCATTTTAACCATGGCTTTGGTCTTTGTTTGAAATTGCATACATAAGTTCTGAAATTCTGTTCATATACATGTATAGTAACTGAAGGCAGTAAAAAACACTGACAAACTACCGTACTTATAAGGATGAGTGATAAGCTAACAATGATGTTATTATCTGATAAATGATGTCTTACTAACTCTTACTTATATTGTAAAATTACACAAAGTCACCCATTTTAGAAGAATTGATAGGCTAAAGCATTTTGAAAGAAAAATCTTATGTTTATTTACAATTTAATTTCTCGACTTAAGTAAAACTTTCATTAATAAATATTAGAAACCTGCACTGCATCCTTATCTTGTACCAATATTACATGTTCACTGTCAAGTCATAACATTCTATCACAGAATATTTATCATCTATAAATAAAGTTCATATTAAACTATTGTGTGGTTATGAGTTTAACTATTGTCTCTATAATACGACTACCACGTGGACACGTACACAAGTCCATATTTGGATCGTTAATTTTATCCGATAATAGTTGATCCAGTTCTTTTCTTAATTCTCTAACAAGTTCAGCAATCTGAAACATAAAACAAACAAGATGACTAGTCATCACCATCCCGCACCCTTGCACTTGTTAGGAAGGCATAAGTAAAAACAACTTCTTGGAATATCAATGGAACTAGTCAGAAGATTCATACTCTGATCACAGTAGCTTGACAAGGCAAGGTCGCTACTTCCTGTTGTGTGTTAAACATTAAGCTTATACATCGAAAAATAAAATACTATAATAGTTTTATGTTTGTTTAAAAAGATTTCTTGAACGGACGGATAATGAAATATGCTCCGGAAATGAAATAGGGACGGAAGGACGGTCATCAGAATATAAAATAATAGGTTGATGAATGTAAAAGTGTTATAAAAATTCAAAAATCATTAAACACGACAAATTTCTAATTAGCAAAAGACACATCTGTTGTAATAGGATGATGTGTGAGCAAAGTTTCAAACGATTTATGTCCCGGAAACAAAATTATACATAAAAATTAAGTCAAATTTGTTTCCATGGAAACACAAAAATGATTAAATCCGAGAAATTCCAAATTAGCAAGAGGCACAACTACTTTAATAGGTTGAGTATTCTACAAAGATTCATGAAGATATCTTGAATGGTTTATGAGATATGCTCCGGAAACAAAATTATACACCAAAAAACTAAGTCAATTTGTTTCCATGGAAAAACAAAAAATATAAATCCTAGAAATTCCTAAATAGCAAAAGGCACATGTGTGTACAAAGTTTCAGAAAGATATCTTGAACGGTTTATGAGATATGCTCTGGAAACAGAAGGACGGACGGACCCAAATTCAATATCCCTCCCTAACTTCGTTCGGCACGAGATAAAAAAATAATTAATTAGCTTATTGTGTTGTTATACACACAGCATTTAATATTTGCTTGATCTGTTACTATGCATTTGTGACAAGGACAGCTGTCTAGTCGTTAGGATGGGCCTAAAAGCCGAGGCCCCGTGTACACATTGGCATGCACGTAAAAGATCCCTTGACAGTTGGAATTCGATATAAGAGTAGGCCGTAGTGCCGCTGTCCGGGCAAAATTTCCCTCATAGCACACTGTATGGCGTATGCCTGTCTTCATTAGCCCATTTCGGAGCAGAACAGTAAGACGTTAAACCCCATTTTATTTCATTTCATTTACTATGCATTTGTATGATGTTTGTGGTATTCTACTTGTAAGTGCAGTTTCAGAGATTCTTTTCCCTTGAAAAAAAATCTATATTATATAAAGTCCTGTGTGTCTGAACAGCTCGCAGCCCCACACCATACAATAATCGTCTAATGGTTATGCTGTATATCGATGGTGAAATAAAATGAAATGGGGTTTAATATTCTACTATTTGCTCCGAACTGGGCTCATAAAGACGGGATATCGATGGTGATATTAGGATCTGAAGAGATTGAAATTAAATGGAAGTAAAAAAACAACTGGCAGCATCACACCATACAATAATAGTCTAATGGTTATGCTGTATATCGATGGTGATATTAGGATCTGAAGAGATTGAAATTAAACAACTGGCAGCCCCACACCATAGAATAATAGTCTAATGGTTATGCTGTATATCAATGGTGATATTAGGATGTAAAAATTGTAGAAACTATATTTACCTCATGTTTTGTGACCATAAATCTAATCCAGCCATCATCAACAGACATAATGAAATTACCTCTCTGTAAATCTACTGATATACTAGCACCACCAAATAATAATAATGGATAAACAGACACCATTGTACAATCTCTCACATATATCTGTAATATAAAATTCTTGATTATTATTTCTACATCATAAAATACAGGTTCCACAGTAACTCAGCGTGTAACATTAGGGATGGGATAAAATATATCGAAATGATACGCAGGATTTTTCCTAGGTGAATTGCGCTGAAAAATTCATTTTTTGGAAATTTTTTGACCTAGCACTATTTTTTCGGTAGGGGATCGGTCATTTTCCAAAATGGCAGCCATTTTCAGGTGAATTTCGATTTTTTTCACGATATTGTATTAGAAACACTTTGAATGGGCCTTCTAGGGTATCCTGTATAGGGTTTTCTGGGATGACAAACACAAATACAATATAATTTTCATGATATTGTATTATAAACACTTCCAATAGGCCTCCTAGGGTGTCTGTTCTGTTTGAAATTTTCGGGGTCAACAAACGGGAATACAATTTAATTTTTCATTTTCGAAAATCCAATATGGCGGCCATTTTCCTTCACACAATGGCAGAAAACATCATTTTTTCATCGATTGAGTATAAAATTAGATTTCATATACTGTGTAATATTTCCTTTATAGGATTTGCGGGGTTGATAAGTAGGGATCCAATATGATCTGGGTTCAACAAAGAATATCTAACTTGTGTAAAAATCCCAGATCATATCAACCATAACATAGTTATTCTATAGTTTAGAGACGAGACACCTTCTTTTAGTCTATTCTGTCATATAATCTTTTTTTGTGTTCTGGTTTGGCGGAGAGAAGTACCTTCTATCCACCAAACCAAGAAGAGAGAACATTCTCGCCACAAACCAAAAAGAATTAAAGGAGAGAGCGAGTTCGGCAAACAAATTACCAAATTGGATTTTAGAAAGTGAAAACTTTGCTTACATTCGTGTTTGTAGACCCCAAAAACCTATAAAGGACATTTAAGAAGTATATTAAATGTATTTATACTAATTTGGTGAATTTTCTGCTCTTTTGGATCAATGAAATAGGAAAATTATATTAAATTTGTGTTTGTTGACTCCTAAAACCATATAAAGGACATATTAGAAAGTATATCCAATATATTTATACCCCTTTGGCTAATTTTCCACCAAATGGCCGCCATATTGGCTTTCCGCCATATTGGATCAATGAAATTGGTAAAATATATTGTATCGCACTTGTCAACCCGCAAATTCTATAAAGGACGTATTACACGGTATATAAAATCTAATTGTATAATCAATCGATGAAAATGGAGGAAAATGGCCATCATAGTGGATTTTCAAAATGAAAAATTATATTGTATTTGTGTTTGTCATCAGAGAAAACCCTAAAGGATACCCTAGAAGGCCCATTCAAATACAATATCGTGAAAAAAATCGAAGAAATTCACCTGAAAATGGCAGCCATTTTGGAAAATGACCGATCCCCTACCGAAAAAATAGTGCCTGTTCAAAAGTTTTGGAAAAATGAAATTTTCAGCTCAATTCGCCCAGGAAAAAACCCCTGCACATTTGAATTCAGAAAAATATGTTGTTATTGTTACATCCCTAGTAAGATGTTGGCTCAATAACTAGGAGGTCCACAGACCAACCCCTTGTTGGCCAAGAAATTTTTGCAGGATACTCCAGTGTGGTTTCCCCTTGTCAGTGGTGCAGGACAAAGGGTCTGGCAAGGAACAGCATCTAGTCTTTCTGATGGTACAAAAAACAGAGACCCGTATCCAAGTGGATGTTGTAGCAAGATTGGTAGAATTTTTGCTCTTTAAATTAGTAGCATTGTATTAATAATATCTTTGGGTCATTATTAAGATTCACACATTGTATAGAGGTCATATTGTCTCATGTACTTAAATCAAAATGAGTGAAGGTTGACATATAAAAAAAATTGGGTAAACATATCTAGTTTCCGTGGGAATCAGAATATCATGTTTAACACATGATTGGAAATTTACTAATTGCATCATTTGGCTTAAGTAACTAATCATATCAGTAATTGCACAGATTCAGTGTCATGAATAGCCTGGTCTGTGCGTGATGTCCATATGGGTCCTATAAAAGAGACCCTGACAAGCCTTTAAGTTTAGATATCCTTGCGTTCTGGAGAGATTACCATCTGTGTTCCTAGACCTTGTGATGTAGCAATTTCTATCAGCAGACCCGACCAGTGAGTCTGGGTGGATTGGGATTGAGAGAATGACTTTATTGTAATCTGTTATGGATTGTAACATATGTATCCAGCTTGACATAAAAATGTAGAACTGAACTGATGCACTGTAATTCCTGGTAAGACAAACATCTTAACTACTGAGAAGACAAACGTCTTAACTACTGAGATAGCAAAAAAAAAATACACAACGTGAAAAGGAAACCAAAGAAGACAATTAAAAATACTAGACGATCACAAGGCTATTAAGATATGTAGTAAAGAATGCATGGGTCATGTCTGACAAAAGACCCATGGTGCTACATATGTGCACATAAAAGACCTTTGACAGTTGAAATTTGATTGCCGTCCAACCAAACATTCCCTCATAGCACACTATACTGTGTATAACCATCTTAATTAGTCCTGTTGGTACAGAAAAGTAGGACATTAACCCTATTTCATTCATTTAGTCAGTTATTTAACAGAGGTACTCTTATCATGATCTGAAATTGATCAACCGATCAATAGCCCCAAATGATTTGAAATTGACTAGTAATGTAGAATATCAACTTACCCGACTAGTTTTAACTTTCTCATGGTAGACTAAGTAGGGACTCTCATAATGACGTACTTGAAAATTGACTGAAGATGGATGAATATAAACCTAGAGTAAAAAAATAAATATCATTTATATATTTTGTAAAGCATTAATCACATTTAAAAAATAAGCAGACATTATTTTAGTAGCAGATAGCTGAATTAAACTATTATATAATCAAAATAGCAATTCACTATTACAGTAGAATCTGTATGAGCAGCGACTCTTATTCAGCGACACCTCTTTGTAAGCGGTCACGATAAATTCCCCCCTTAAAAATTCTATTGTTTCATCTCTTTATTCAACGGTCACTCCTCTAACGGGCCAGTGGTCATTATTTTACTAATAAATTTAACAAAACATCTCTCATTCAACGGCCATTGTTTAATGATACCA